TGTATGTATGTATGTATGTATATATGTATGTATGTATGTATGTATGTATGTATGTATGTATGTAAGTAGTATGTATGTATGTATGTATGCATGCATGTAGGTATGTATGTATGTATGTATGTATGTATGTATGTATGTATGTATGTATGTATGTATGTATGTATGTATGTATGTATGTATGTATGTATGTATGTATGTATGTGTGTATTTATGTATGTATGGATGTATGGCTGGATGTATGTATATATGTATGTATGTGTGTATGTGTATATGCGTGTATGTTTGTTTGTATGCATGTATGCATGCATTGCATACATGCGTGTATGTATGTATGCATGTATGTATGTATGTGCATGCATGCATGTTGGTTTGTATTTATGTCTGTATTTTCTGTACTTATGTATACAAATGTTTAGATGCGTAATTATAAGTCTATGTACTTCAGAAGATTTCATATTACGAATTTTATGTTATAAATCATCTAACTTACTTTATTCAGTGTCTGTTTCAGTACTTGTATTGTATCAATTTGTTTTTGATTGAGCTAGTAGGACATGAGCTTTCAACTTCAATACTTTTGTCAATCGTACAGCTGGTACCGGTCAAACCGAGGGCAGTGATCCGAATACAGCTACAGGAAGCTCCGTTAGTGAAGATAAAATACGTAGTTTGGCTTCGTCGTGGTGGTCTAGTGCGCAGACCTCCATGCAGAAAGCTTCGGAGTCTGCGGCTGTGATGAGCAAGAAGGCCGCGGAGCAAGCGCAGGAAATGAGCAAGAAAGCAGTACGTGGCTGATTGCAGGTGTTTTGTGGAGTATGTTTCAGAACGCAAACCATGTGTATGTACACTACGGCTTGTACTCCGAGTGTCCGGCGTTTGAGTGCTATTGCCATAACTCAATTAGTATCGCACGATGATGTACACAGCTACTTTTCGTATACCCCTATAGTTGTATATCCGCCCATTTGTATTGACTCTGTATTACTATATTAGGCAAATACACTCGTGCCTTCGCATAGGGCTCCAACACGTGTTTAGGAGAACTCCAGTGCAAAAAATCTCGTTGTTTTTACTTTCTGCACCTTTTGATGTTAACCGCGCTTCTCTATTGTGTATGTATATCGTCCCAGGCAGAGCAAGCGAGTGAGTTGAGCAAGAATGCAGGCGAATACGGTCAAAAAACCCTACAGAGTGCAACCGTCATGTCGAGCGACATATTGACCAAGGCCAAACAGTCCACTACTGCTGTAGCACCTACAGGTACGGAAATTCGAGTTGCATGTCTCATTAAATGAAAAGATTTTAACGAGCGGCAATTCTGCAATACTGCGTGACCCGGAATCGGCAAGTATACCTTTTACTTGTATGTGAATGCTGGCGCGAAATTCTCTGACAGTTTATTGTAATTGAGCGTAAGCCACGCTCATACAACACTTCAGTACACTTGTACGGACAATCTTACCCTCTAGCAAGCCCAAACTATATGTAATCCGAATCGTTGGCTTTTTTTTTGCGAGGGAAAGGGATTTCAGTTGTTACAATGGAGAAGAGCTGAATACATATGCTGTTATGGGGGAGTTTATTGGTTGAAGTAAGCTTTAAACCTCAAATATTAACAGTTAATTGTTGCTTGCTGACAAAATAACTAAACGCAAATTCTGGTATTAACGTAGTAAACTCATTCATTCCAGAGGGAGACTCGGATGCCGCTAAAGTACCTGCTGCTGCACAAGGCAGCTTCGATCTGCTGGGTTCAAGTATGTACCCACCTATTTTTGAATATATGATTGTTATGTACATAAATTTAATGAACGTAATCATCGTTCCTGCGTTTTGTTTGATGCTCTTGTTTAATTAAGGTAAACAATACGTGCGTACAAATTAAGAATTGTTCACCTTTTTTATATGTGCATTACATCTGTCGCGCCTCTATCTATTGAACCCTTGAAGTTCGATTTTTTGTGCTGAGACATAATAATATCGGCTTTCAAATGTGCACATCTTGTACAGTGATTTACTCAAGAGTCCTCTTTTATACATACACGTGAATGTGCATTGTCACACGCGCTCTCACTTGCACGCAAATCATGGCAAATGCTAGATACACGCTATGGCGTCGATTTGACTTGTTTTCGAGAGAATTTTATCTAGAATCTCACCTTTTTTTGTACTCTTCAGTCGCTGTCCTCGGTAACAAGGTTCGGAGTACCGTAGACAGCATGACCGAAGATTGGGAAAAAGAGCAGAATAAATTTTTAGCAGAGAAGGAACAAGCAAGAGTGTTTCAACGTAAGTGTTGTACAAGATAATGCAACGTGATCCGAAGTATGAGGGATGTTGACATTTGTGTTTAGACATAGTATATTGTCGGCTGCTAGCACACATGGTAACGTTTTAGGGTTTTAGTCTTGACCTGTTCGTTGATCTGCAATGTATTCGTGTTTCCGAAAGAAAGAAAATCACACACACAGATGAGGCGAGCACGAAAATTTTATATACCTGCTGCAACAATTTAGAAATCAATGCCGTTTGTTGTTGAGCCGTAAAAAAATGTGTACATATATTGAGTGAAAACTTGACAAACTAATTTACATATCTGATAGGAATTTTGGTATATTTTTCTTACCCATATAGATATGCGTGTATACCAACGGAACAGGTGAAAGTTTACATTAGCATTGAGCATGACCAGTGAACCATCGCACTCTAAGGGATTGTTAAATACACCGTTTGGAACATACATGGTAAGCCTACATGTATCTTTTTTTTTCTACCTGCAGATGATAATAGTATGATGCCCCTATGGGCGGGTTTCGCCGATGAAGAGTCGGTAAAAGCTCAAATATTGACTCTGTCTCTGGACAAACGTAACTTTCTCGTAGACCCCCCGGCCGGCAATGACTTCCACTTCGATCTCGATATATTCTCGGCTGCGTGTATGTCCGCCCTCAAATACGACCCAAGGTATGTTACAATGACATCTTGCCTCTATTTGTGCTGGACATCTCTAGCGTCTGCTCTCCATGCGAGTCGGCCACATGTACTTCTCGTCGTACATCTAAATTTCCTTTAAGATTTTATGTACTTGTTTATAAGCTTTTCCACTGTTGCTGGGCGCACACGGTGTCATGGTCGGTGATGAGATCATGTTGCTCATTCGGATCAGTCATGCATACACGATTAGACCCAGCTGACAGAGCGTAGTGCACGGAGTGAGTATGTTTGTTTCACAACTTCGATCGACAGTTTTCGCAATATTTGCATATCATTCGCTAACCTAGTTCTCATATCTGATTGAATTTTAGGATTGAGACCGTCCGCTTTGAACTGGTTCCTAAAACTGTGAAAGAAAGTCGCTTCTGGCGAAATTATCTATACCGAGTGTCTTTGATCAAACAGCAGGCCTCACTATCGAGTATGCAAAGTGAGGTAAATGTCTTTACTTTCTGCATCTGAACTGTTACCTTGAAAATCAGTGTCTTAGGTTTTACTCGTAGAGAGTTTTACAGCTTGGGTGATTTCGCTCGACTTAAGTTATATCGTCAGCGTTAAAAAAATTTGTTGCTGAGGCCGTTGAACCCTTACAGCATACAGAAAATGTGGGATCAATCCCAACTAGATCTGCGAAACGATTTTTTCTTCGGCTGGCACACGCACAGTGAAGCATATATTCAAATACATTTTTTTCAGTAGCAACATGCCATATTTATTATCATCTCGGTCTCGGTCCTCAACCAACACAGGTGGAAGTAGGGGCGAGCCCAAAATCCAACTCAAGTTCACAACTCACCAACAGGCACTCTGATATAGTAGCGTCACCGCCCCCGCAACCAAACAAGCTCATGCGGAGAACTTCTAATGATACGTTAAGCACCGAAGAGTCTCTGAGCAACACAGGGAGTGAAATAACTGAAACCAAAGGTATAGCAGAGACGAGGTCTGATACCGTTCCTGTGCTATCAAATGGTAAGAAGTTGGCCATCATCTTGATATTATTTCTTGGAGAAGTCGCGCAATTCTCTATCAGCATGTTTATGTAAGAGTTTGTCTGTAATCGGTTCATTGTGGTTGTTTGTGGTGTTGTTGTTGTTATGGCAAGCCGGTGCTCGTATTGCCGAGGGATGATTTCAATGATACGTTTACATGTGGTAAGATGTGTACGAAGCACGCATCACGGGCCACAATACGCTGCTGACAGATAAAAGTTATGCTCCACCCTCATGAAAAGCAGTAGCCTCAGCCTCGCCAACGGAGGAAGCCTCAGCACTTAAATCCGATTCAGATGGGGAAGATGACTTCGACGTGTCTGATCTGGACGACTTGGACGGTGAATTGGATGGTTTAGATATCGCAGATTTAGATGGTGAGTACTGTAAGTCTGTATCTGGATGGCAAACAATGCAAAAGTCGTCGTGTATGCCGCTGTGTCATGCGAAGCGCATGCTATAGGTCATGGAATCGTCACAAACGTAAGCTTATCGCATAAGGAACCTGTATGGAGTCCATTTGAAGTCTACATGAAGTCTATGTATACTTATATCTGGAATCTGTAGTAGAGCTAGTCGCCAATACTTTCTTTCTGGTCGACTCAGTCGCCCCATGTGCCAATATTATCTGTGCTGCCAGTCCATGTTGAGTATGCGTACGTATTTGTATGTAAACGGTTGATCTATCGCCGAAGAGTGGCAACAAAATATTGTTCTATGTGCGAATACTAGGGTTGATTTAATTTTTTTGTGAGAGCAAATATTTCCTGAATGTAATAAATAACTCGGGTATACATGGTAGGTGATTATCTTGCTAAAACCGAACAAGAGCTAAGAACATACAGGTTGTACTTGATCTTCAAGGTTGGAGAATTATATTTTTGCTTCTATGTATTCTTTGCGCAATGCCCGCCCATCTGCAGCACGGCGGATAAGTCAGTCAGACTGGAATATTTCACCCTATCATAAATTTTTTTCCTGGCATCTTTCTAACTACCCAATACATACTCGAATTACAAACCTCGTTGCTCGATTAGATTTAGATGTGGATGATCTAGGCGACTTATCCGAATAGACGGCGGCCTCAGCCCTCAATAAAACCCGATGGAGGATATAGTAGAGGCCCGCCAAGTGTCCAACCTTCCCCAGTGGGATCAAGTTCATTCTGTTCACATTGCAGGGTTGGTACGTTCGCGCTCAATAAGCACAACCTCAAGGGAAGGGCTTTCGATGCTGAAGCATCAAATTCTATACGCGCGTGTGTGCCAAGTGCACAGGAACAATTCTTCACAGGTACACTTTTATTTTACCTGCCAGGGTAAATTATTTAGGAATTCCGAATTATGCAAACGAAGGGTGAGATGCCTTTGTGCAATTGATCGCAGTGATCACAGGAGTTAGAACCCCTCACCGCCAATCAAATTACCACGATAAATAACTGCTTAGACGCTGTCATGCCACACCGCAGTAGTCAGTACATTGTACAACTGTTGTTTTTTTAAGAAGGCCGTCGCTCTACTCTCTAGACTTTACTAGAGTCTCCACTCTAGTAGAGAGAGTAGGAGACTCTCTAGAGGAGTCTCTCTAGCCTGTGGGCCCCTCTAACATAGAGTATTTTGTTTTTTAAAAATGGAGTAAATATTAGTTTATTCTTAAAACCGTATTTTTAAAGAAAATCATGAAATAAAAAACACGGACTATTGGCCTCTGGCGGAAATAAGATTTCTCTCTACCTCTTCTTGCGTTGATGGGTAAAATCGGGACTCGGGAGTCTCGGACTCGGGAGCAGTTGGGAGAGTAAAGGAAACAACGGACTTCAGGAATTGTATTATTTAGAGGGCTACATATGAGAAATTCAGAGTATTTTTTGGGTCTATTTATCATTTTTTTTGAAGACAGTTGTATTTATTTTGAAGAACTGAAGAAGTCGTTTGGATACTAAATTTGGAGTGCGAAACTGCGTCGCTGCGAACTGTATTTTAATTTCTATCTCTATCGTCCTTTTTGTTTCAGAAAAACAAAATATGCACGTTGGACACGAAAGTCCAAGACTCCAAGATCGTATCTTTACTGGCGGTTCGGTCGTTCGGATATGCTACTTCGTTTTAGAGTAAATTTTGGGTCAAAGATAAAGGGGGCGGGGTGGGAATAACAATGGTTTTGCCCTAGTTTGCGCCTTGCGATATTTACATAGTACATACTTAACTTCTATAAGACTGTCGTAATTGAAAAAAATGTATTGTTTGATATTTACAGTGTGTTTGGGACTGGTTGTATCATAATAGCTCTCTACTAGAGAGTAGAGCTCGAGATTACTATTAATCGTTTACGACATCAGATATTTCAGTTCGACATATGCATGTATTATATTGGGAGGCGGAATGGCAGACCCTAAAACAAAGTATGCAGCCTAATATAGTAATATGTCAAAATATTTATATATTTTTTTAGCACATTCCCAAGGTCTTTTATCTTCCCAATCAAATGTGCCCAAATCTTTATATCCTCTATGGAATATGATTAACGAATTAAACGATGGCTTTTTCAGTTTTTCTTGTGTTTGTATTTGGCTCACTTGTTCAGTGTTCAGCTGTTTGTTGTTTTAAAAAAAAGAAAAGCTTAAAAAATACAGTTAATATTTACAGTCAATGAAATCACCCGATTTTCGACGATTGTTTTATTCTTTAAAAACTCGATGTATTTGTGAACCTCAGATAATTTCCTAATAATTAATTCTCGTACTAGCCACTCGTTTTTAGGACATGAACTTGTTTAAAAACCGTCGTAAACTCTTTGCAGAACCCAGAACCTCCAAAAAAAAACTCGATGATTAACTTATTTACAGTTTTTCAACTCGCCTAGAACTCGTTGAATTTCAAAACCCGTTCGGAACTTTCCAAACAATTTGATAAAACATTGTCCCTGTTTTTTTTGGGGCGTGACATTTCTCAAATTTTATCCAAGTTTTGGTCATAGTGTTATGATACATAGTTTAGGATTTCCTAAAATGCTCACGAATTACGTATCGAAAATTTCAAATATTAGGCGGTTCGGATGTGCTACTTAAAATCAGGGGAGGGGGGGGGGATAGCAAATTATAAATCTGGTCCTGACCGTGGTCTGGACCAATCAAATCACACCAAATGTCGCCACTGTACGGTTTCTCCAAGTTGTACCACAATACGATACACATTATAGTACATAAATTGGCAGTAAATCACTCGCCAAGGTGTGGAGGAAAATCCCGCCGAACTGATAGACAACCAATAAACATCCATTGGAAACTGAATCTTGTTTGTGACAATTCAATGACGTCTAGAAAATATACTTCTCCAAACTGATATCAATATAGTGAATCGCCATGATACTACTAGTCTGCAATACAACAACATCCACAAGACATCCGCAGGTATACAGTAGTCATGACTACATCAGCGGCCAGCTCAGAAGCCTCGACACCGTCGATTGCGAAAGAAAATGTTGTACTCACGGTCACACCGTAAAAGCTTGCGAACTCTTCCATTTCCTGGATAGGTGATTTAATAGTGCTGATAGTCTAGAACAAATGAACTGTATATAGGGCTATGCTTGCAAGATACAAGTACAGATGGTTGTTTTTACATTATATTGATGTCTGCACTCACTCTACAGTGTGTTTGTTTGTACATAGGGCCGGCAAAATAAAATTTTTTACAGTCTACGAAACTGATGACACCACTTGATACAAATTTAGGCTATCACAGGGGCCAGAAAAAGTCATATATGTACTACAGATTTAAAATTGACAAATCCACCAAAAGTCCAAGAAACCAGGGGGGGAGGGAGCCTAAAACAAAGTAGCACATCCGAACCGCCTTACGGCAATATTTAATTTCATAGCCTTCTAATTGAAACATTTTAGTTCATAAATACGACCGCATACATGGTACATACGGTCATCCGCCTTTTTCTCTTGATATATATATATATATATATGTATATGTATATGTATATGTATATGTATATGTATATGTATATGTAAATATATTTGTATATGTATATGTATATGTATATGTATATGTATATGTATATGTATATGTATATGTATATGTTATATATATATATATATATATATATATATATATATATATATATAT